TCCTTTTTTCACTTCTCGCCCATGATACTCTTTAGTTACTTTCCTAAGTTCTTGTTTACTGAAAGCTACTTGATATCCAACTTCAGATTCTTTAATACCTTGAGCTACCTTAGCTTCCACTCCTTCAAAAAATAACTTAACACCAATCAAAACATTAGCAAGTTTTACCAATAAAGCTGTAGAATCAATTTTAATAAAGTAATATAAATATGCTCACATTAAGTTTTTCAAGAGGTCTACCAAAATAACGAGTTACATAAGCACTTAAGGCTTCACTATACTTTTGTTTTGCATCTTTTCTGAATTGATCTAATATGGAGATTTTTAACTGAGACAGCAATGCGTACAAATGATGAAAGTTTTCTATAACCAGTAGTTAAACTATAATGATTTATTGGTGCCATTTCGGTATGCGCTCTACTGGTTTTTCCTGTTCTACGTCAGTTCAACACTCGTTCTATATTGAACAATGACTGAATTTCTTATGGATTATAGAACGTGAGTGCGAGGCAGGATCAGAAATGCATTATAATAAATAGGTTGCATATAGGTGTCTCACAAGCCGAGGTTTTATTCATAAAATAGTAAATCATCTAATTTCATACGTAAATGAAAATACAGGAGCCCACACTAAAGGCAATGAGAGCTCATTGTTGGACGCAAAAATGAAATGATTATTGATGGTAAGTCAAGATAACCCTGATCTTTTTCTCGCCTTGTTGGAAGACATTCAGAGGATGTACCAACAATAAAATTAAATACTGTTAAAACAATGTTTGGTAGAATGCAAATCAAAACAAACACTAGTCCATATAGCGCATACTGAATTAGAAACTTGTCAGTAAAGGGCATACCGAAGTAGCACCGATTTATTTTGTATTCATAACTATAACTTACCCATTCTAATCACTTCAGCAGGAGTTTTAGGGTGTTCATTAGCTACTGAATGAATAGTCTCAAACATCGCAGTTATAAGTTTTATATACCATTTATCTAAATCAGTTCGACGTTCAGTCTCTCTAAATATTTGTTCAGCTGTTTTAGCAAAATACTAAAAAACAAATATAGATTCTTTTTCACCAGTATAATAAAAATAATCTATTTTTCATATGAAATAGTCTTAAAATACTCATAGTAATATAAAACATAATCACAAAAACTGTACATCTAATATATTATTTACCTCAAAGTTAGCTACAAAAGGCAATATGCCACATTTAGTTTTTTTAGCAACTTTTACATCTTGAATCGATTTTAAATGAGCATGCATTAATTTATCATAATTTCTTTTAACATGAACTAATGCAGACCCATAAGTCATACTTAAAAATGAACCAGTGTCATTAGCAGACATAACATGGCGACCCAATCTTACCAAAACTGCCATCGAATAACTAGAAAAAAAAATATTATTATCAATTAAAATTAACAGTAAAGGAACAAAAAGCTCATAATTAATTACGTGCTATCCATTCTCTCGTGATATTGTATAAATGCAATTAATTCTGGTTCAATACATGCAAAAATTTCACCCATTATTTTTTTAACTTCTTCGTTTATTTTTTTTTCAATTTTTGTTTTTGGTAAAGATGGTAATGGTTCTTGAGTTGATTTTACATCTGATCCATCTAAAGTTGTTTGAGTATTCTAAAATACATTTAAATTACACATAAACATTATTAACTTAATAAAATATACTAATCTTAACACAGTTATGTCATATAATATTACATATATTGAGTTAATAAAATAAATAATAATTATTATCAAAATAAAATTTGGTTTGATTTAAGTTGACCAAATTTAAATTTTTTAGTAGTAAATTATATACAATTTTATTCTGAATAACTCAAATATATTCTAACATCTCTACAATGAATCAAAAAGTTCAATTTTATTCTGATTAATATTTAAAATTAAAATTTATAGTATTGTATATAATACTTTAGTTGAAGGACTGAGTACATCCAATTGGAAAAATGACACACAAAAATTTTGTTCTGACAAACAAATCGGTTCAAGCTCTGAAAGAACTGCCTCTAATACTTGGTCAAACCTTTGTCGCTCTTGAGCATCACTTTCCTGTGCCCAAAATTCTCTGTCTACACCTAATAACCAATCAGATGGTGGACCAGTTGACCTTCTAATATCTTCTTTTGAACTGGATAAATGGCCTAGAATAATAAATAATCATTAACATACGTAAATTTCAACTTAATATTGTTGAATATACTTAAACACCTTAAATTACATACAAAATTTAACTTCTTTATTAAGCTACAAACATAGTATCAATATTAAATATATTAATTACCAGCATTTACACGCAACTTTGCATCTTCTAAAAATAATTTTATATCTCTTTCATAGAGTTTAGATAAAGATGATGTATAAACTTTATTAAGTGCAATAAAAGCTTTTCTATCCATTGCTTTACACCAATGCATTAGTTCTGTATAAGCTGCAAGTTCGCGATGTAGTGTAGTGTGTTTCATAATTGTCAATTCATTATTAGAATTCTTTTTGGATTCCCCAATATCATTTCCCTGTAAATTAAATTGTTTACAAAAATTATTAAACCAGTTATAAAATTGTTCGTATCTTCATGTAAATAAAATAAAAAATATAAATCACAATGGCTAATTCTTAGTAAATTATTAATAATTATTGTTTGAGATATACCATATGAATAAACAAATTATTAAGATGTCTAGATAGAATTTGAGAGAATTTTGCTTTCCATTTCTCAAATCTTCTTCTTTGTTCTTGTATAGCTTTCAATCGCACAAGAGCTGGATGAATTTGTGCATTCATTACAGCTTGTAATTCTTTTGCAGCTGTAATAGCATCTCGTAATCCAGATTGTGTAGTTAAGTCAGCATCAGTTAAGGCCAATTGATGTTTTGGTGAGAGTTCTAATTGATGCTATCAATAAATTTTTTACATTTATAAAAAACCTTTTTTTTTTTTTTTGTATTAGTTCTTGATACTTACAATTACTTTTTGTAGTTCATTAAGTAATTTTTCATTATTAGAATTTGCTGTTTGAATATTAGCATTTTTTTGATCCATTTTATCAATAGTATCTCGCACATGTCTTAAAGTTTCATCATACAAATCTAATGCTGATTCAACTTTTTCAATTTCTTGAATAGCTGTTTCTAACTGATCCATCAATTTTGTAACTTGAGGCTCCGAGGCAAGAACGCTTTGCACATTCTCCTACATAATAAAATAATTTAATTTTAGAATTTTCAAATATTTTGTGTTATAAATTTCATTTTTTGATCTAAAATAGACAAACATTTTATTATTTCAGTGAGGAAAAATGTATAAACTATTGATTAAGACTTTTATGCTATCTAAAATAATTAGCCTAAAGTAATAATATTACACTAAATAAAATTGAGAAGTCAAAGATATATTATGATTGTTATTAAAATTACTCACACCATCTAAAGCCATTAATTGTGATGCTAACATATCTGTAAACGCTTTGGCATCTTTTGCAGCAAATCCGCATTCTTTCATTAATAATTCTAAGTCTCGTTCTTCTTTCTCTGATAAAGGTTGAAAATCTTCAGCACTAATAATAGGTGATACAGCTAAACAGTAATGTACCATCGATTTAGAATTATTTCTAAGAACATTACTTAGAAGATATTATAATGCTTATCAAAATCATGTAATACAATAACTACATGGTATATATTTAATTATAGATGATTATCAAAACAGCAGTTTAAAATATTAACAAATTTTAGTAATTAAGAAATTTAAATATTAAATTTTTAGAATAATAATAATAGTAGTAAAACTATGTACCTAAGGAAAGTTTTGATTTTCGATCAGCAGGTAGAACAACTAAATCACCAGATGTCCAGTCAAGTGGTAAATTTTTGAATTCGGGCTTTTTATCAAATACATAACTAGCACATTGCTAAAAATAAAACAATAATAATAAAATACTATTAATTACTTATTAAAACTATACCAAAACTAATTTATTAATTGATATTGCTACATTTTTTGGTATTATGGCATTAAATAATTTAAATTTGTTCAAATAACTATAAAGAATTTGATTATATTGTATGTAATAGTATTTTCCAATAAATGTAAAATAAACATAAATTAATTAATATATATCATTTTTAATATACCTTCCATAATGATATCAAAAATATTTTACGTTCTTGATTATTATTAGCCACCCATTTATATGGTTTATCCAATATCAATTCTATATCTAAACAATCCTGTAATTCAAAAAAACAACAATAATAAAAGAAACTAAATTGATTAAAATATAAAGTAACCTGAGACGATGTTTTTCCATCAACAGTAATCAATTCATTTAATGACCATATTCTTTTTTTTTTTACAACTTTATTGTCAAACCTAATCTAAAAAAAATGTAGACAGAAATTAAAAAAAATATGTACGCCAAGTTACGAATACATACCTGGTGAATATAAATATTTGAAGGTGGTTCCTTAGTGTCTGATAAACACAAATATCCAAATTTCTTTTTCTTCGAATCATTACTTACACCAACAAATGCTAAAAGCTTTTGATCACATTGATCAAATATTTCTTGTTGTAAAATTTGTCTCGCAGTAGCCATTTGTTATTTAAAATTTAATGTGAAAAATTAAAACTAAGAATTAAATTATAATCAATTTTTGTAACAACGAACGTAAAATTATATTTGAAAAAAATGAATGAATATACTATTATAAATAACAATGCTGATAAATGATAATAAATTATAGATAAGAAGATTCGAACCAAGACTTATCAATTACCATATGGGATAAATAACAGGCAAGGTCTATTGATATCAATTGTGTAATGATCACAGAGAATAGATTAATGTCACAAACTTTTTATTTATCTATGATCACAAAACAATGGTCTATGGCATTACCTATATAAGTGTTATTCCCTAATATCACTTTATAATTATACCTTTTTTTTTCAATTCTATGGGATAAATTTAATTTTTGATTCTGTGAACACAATTTCGACTAGGAGAATTGCTCCAATCATCACCAATTAAAAAGTAAAATATTCATAATATTTTTATAAACTATATATAAAAAATTTTAATTTTCATGTTTTCTTAGCTTTTTTTTTTAAAAAAATGTGAGTAAATTAATTTTAGTTTAACAAAAAGTTTTGATTTAATACAAAAGTCTTCATATAGATCTATTAATAATTAAAAAAATATCTTATGAGTGTTTGAATAATAAATTTAAAAAAAAAACGATAAAATCACAAAAACCCACTTAGTACATTATAGTAGTAAAAACTCATAAAATTTTCAATTTTATATTTGAAGCTTGAAAATTGGATACAATATTTTTCATAAGATTTTCTTTGTAACCAAATAAAAAATGAATGGAAAGTTGAAAAAAGTTTATAAACTGTACAAATTAAAATTTTTCAATTTATTTACACGTGTGATTATGCTTAGCCAAATACTAGAAAAACAGGACAAATATTTAGCCATCATTCTTAATATAAAGATGATAAAATAAATCAGTGAACAATTTCGATACGATACAATTGAACCAGCAATATTTGTATTATACAAAAAGCACTTGCAATGGCGAATATAGCGTTTTGGCGCCCCTAGGCTTAATCACTTCTAACCCCTCCCCCTCACCTATCACTCTACTAAGGAAACAACAATATTTAGTCTAAACCCTTCTTTTAAAATTTTATTCAGTTTTTTTATCAAAAAAAAATAATATTAAATCTTTAAAATAGAAAACTTCTAAAAATAAAATATTTCATGTATATTATTTTACTTCAGATACCATTATTACCAGTACAAATAAACAATGCTTATACAGTCACATAACGGAAATATAAATAGCCAGATATGAAAATACTTATACTCGGATAGTCGGATGTTCCCAATAAGTATAAAAGTACTAATAAATTATTAATAATAGCTAGTAACTAACTGTAATTATTTTATTACAAATGAAATATTTTCAAATTGTAATAATAATTGTAATATTTTTACTATAGCCTCTAGGTACGCATCATACAATGTACATATTAATATATAATTATAACTTTTTAAAATTATTTTTATTCGAGTTTATATGACAAATATAAAAAAAATATATTAAAATAAATATACCTAATAAATTAATAATAACACTTAATTCTATAAAAAAAAAAAAAAAAAAAAAAAAGCCACCATCATAAAAAAGCCACCCTAGGCAATAAGCCTTTTAACTTGCTCCATAATCCGCCACTGAGCACTTGGAGAAAACGGTTACTGAAATAGAAACGAGTATTGCATAATCCTATGATGGAGTGGACTATGGCCATCACAGCCTTTATCCTACAGTGCTAAAACCTACTATTTCATTAATTAAAATTTTCTATAAAACTTATCCCTCCTCGTTACTTAGATCACTGGTCAATTAGATTCCTTTTGTATTAGGTTAATCATTTAGAACTATGTAATCGTTATTTAAAAAATTTAAAAATAAATATTTTATTAAAAATAATAAAATGGTTATACTAATAGCATTGATTTTAAAATATTTTAAAATCAATGCTAATAGTTAACAATAAATTTTCAATTTGTATTTATTTGATGTAATTTAGTGTCTACATAATGGCTTATTCATTCTGACTTAAGGACTGATAGAGGAACTCTGAAAGGGAGCACACGAATTACATTCTGTAGAAAAGGTATACACGAATTGCGTCTTAAAAAATTCATGTATTTTAATTAAAAGTTCTTAAACAACTAACAAAAATAAATAAATAATAATAATAATAATGTTAATTCAAATGTGCCATCAACTGTTTTAAATTTAATTAAAAATTCTAAATTTGATTTACATGTAAATACTACTATACCATTAATAGAATCATTTAAAAATAAAAAAGGTTAATTTTCGTTTGTAATACAGTCAATGCTGAACGGACAGTTAAAATATTCATTGGCAATTTTGGTAGTTGTTCACTTCAAACTTGATATAAATCATTTTTTATACAGCGAATATCTGTAATTGTTAATGTACTTTTAACACTGATATCAATACTTTATTTTAATGTCGATGCATTAGTTTAGTTGTTTTTTCATATAACTCTTGTGTACCTTTTCGCTTAAGAGAATAACTTACAATTTGTCGATTTATAACTGCTTCAGATAGTGCATTGTGGTTGTGGTCAGTATCACTCACGTTAAGTAAAATATCATAATTTTCGTTAATTTTTAAATATGCTGTACTCGTTTTAACGGTACATTTCCAACGTTGAATATTATTAGCCAAACGTTTATGAAAACAGAACTTATATTTGTCAATTATTTTCAAATGTTTTTGTTTTTCACTAATACTATTTGCACTTCCATCTTAAAACTAAACAGTTATCACAGCTCACAGTGGCATAATTGTGGGGAGAAAGTTCTCCCCTGACAATTTTTTGAGAGATAAAGTTATAATTTTGCCCTCCTCCAGATAATCTAACAGTACAAATAGCACCTTTTATTAATGAACTCTTATGGGTATTATTTAACAATATTGGTACCTAGTACCTGCTACTTGCAATTTATGTTAATCTAAGCCACAAAATGAGTTAAAAGACTTATGTAAAATCAAACAATTAGATATACTGTATCAAATACATACAATAAAAATATGTTTTAACTGGTGAGGGGGAGGGGTGTCAGGGTTTTGGTAGTAATAAATATATTATATTCCCCCCCTAGATTTTTTCCCAGTTACACCACTGACGGCTCACGTAGGTATACAAAACACCACGGAGAACCCCTGAAATTAATTAAAATTTATATAATATAATAAAGATAATATAGATCGTTTTATTGTATTATCTGTTGTAATAATATAATATGTATATATAATAATTTATAATTATCATATATTATTATCATTATATATTATATTCTAGAAATGCAAAATATTATTATATTTATTAGCTTATTTTTTACACATTTTATTTTTATTATTATTATTTTAACCAAAACAATAGCTAAAAAATGAAATTACTATACGGTATTATTAATTTACGAATATTTTTTTTTATTTATATTCTTGAAATGACAAATATTAATAATATACGACAATATTAGAAAATACGTAGTATTAATAAATTTATATTGTGATGTTTATATACATGTACTATGTATAGTATATATTATATGTATATGTAGTACATAGATTATTGTATAGGCCGCAACTCACCAACACCGGTTTGCATCGACGAGAATATGCTTAATTGTTAAATGGACTCCACATATTGCGCAATGAGTTAGTAAATTTTATTATTATAGTTGAACAATATAGACACAATTATAAATAAGTAAACCAAAATTATTAAAAATTATTATACATTTAACTAAATAATAATAATAAAAATATTAAATTAAATTTAAATTTAAGGTTTTTGAATTGCTTTAAATGCTTTTATAATTTTTATATCACTGAAAATTAAGATAATGTTCTGTAAGGCGTCTATCCCGCCTAGAAATTTTTGGCCCGAGTATAATAGTTATTTAATAGCTGCGTTCGATAGCCTCACTAAATAATACCTTCATCGTATTCTGGATATGAAATGATCAGTTGATTTTTTTTGTCAAAGAGGACGTTCATCCGCAAAATAAGGTTCACCTGTATTCTAAAGAATATAATCGTTCCCTTATTACAGACAAAAGATGTATTAAATACAATCGTATACAATCTTGTAATTGCAACAGTTAATTATGTTCACACCGTAACCGTAAATTGCTGACTGTTCGTGAATTATCTTAGGTCCAACCTCGATAATGTATCAATTAAGTCATTCGTATGACCATATAACATCAAATTGGGCACTTACCTTGGTATATGTGGAACAAAAAAGTTGTGGTAAACAACCATGGTCGTTGACAACCGGGAAAGCATAAAATCCGTTAAAATGGTAGTCACTAATGTCTATGAATATTCGTAAGGGTTTGAATTTTGAATTTAACCGTCAGTCTAACTTACAATCGAGCATCCACAATCATCATCATGTTTGAAAATTATAGTACGTATAACAATCTACATTTAAACATATAATTATCTAATCGTTTAACGAAAAATAATGTTTATGAGTAGAATTTTAAAATTTCATTATAAATAAAATAAATTCCGATCGTTTATCCCTACAATTTAATATACTCGTAATATATGTTATTATTATTATATATATTTAAATTTCAGTCTTCACCACTAATATTCTACACACAACATTTTAATATATTATTTTATTCAGTAGTTCCACTTTCAAATTAACTAATGTAATATATGTTTAAACTAATAGTTTATAGTTTATAACAGTGGTTGACTAGTGATTTCTATTGGAGTCCCGGAAAATTAAAATAATAAATAAACGAGATTCAGAGAAAAAAAATTAATTTAATTATGAGACAACTACAATCTGAGTTTGCTAAATCAAATAAAATATTCTCAATAAAATAATATAAGATAAAATAAAAATTAATAATTAGTTTTTGGATAGTACTGGTAAACTAATTTATAAATAAAGCATTATAAGCATTTATATATTTCTAAATATAAACTATTTGTTTATTTATTTATATATCATATTAAAATATTGAATTAACGTATTCAAATAAGATATGTTAATCCACATTGTACTTTACTACCCCATGCGTTTTTTTGTGG